TTTTTGTTTTTTTGTTTTAATTTTTACTAAATAAAAATCAACTTGAATATTTAAAACTTTCAACATCAGGAGTTATTTCTTGATTAATAAATTATTATTTTTTTAAATTAAATTTTTTATTTATTGCATTTTTTTGTATTTTTGTCTTTTTCTCTTTGTTTTTTAAATTCTTCACAAAATAGCTCCAAAGATACAGGTAGAATGCAACACCTTTATGTTTTTTTCTCTTTACTTTACATATCAGCACTTTTTTACTTGCTAAAATAATTTGCTAAAATTTATACAATGATCTGACAAATCATATTTTTTCATATATCTATTTAGTATATATACTATTTTCATAATGTACCAACTATAATATTTGGCCTTTATAATATTTGAATTTTATAAAACGGTATATTATTCTCTCCACAAGGAATTTTTAGTTTGCAATTTGTTGACTTAAAACTGTTTTGTTCAATAGTAAGTTTTTCTCTAACTTTAACCAAATAATGGTAAAACAATATTAACACTAAGTGGTCTATAGTATTCTGCTATTGTAAAGCCACAGTCAGTTTTAATTTGATTAACGTAATAAGCATAAATCCTACCACGGGTGTATTTCCTACTAAAACTTTAACTATTGTATGATTTCCATTACCTAATTACATAATTTTGTGCATAAATAAGATAATTTATTAACTTTGTACTCTACACAGTCAATGATACATTTTACAGTAGGGAGCTTTTCCTGCATTTATTAGGAAATTTTCTTCCTAACTCACTCCATACAAGGCCATATGCAGATGTCTTATACATAAAATATATCCATGTATTTACAGTATTTGAAACTGTTCCTTCTGAAATATTGTATAAAAATAAATAAAAACAAAGATCAAAGTTCCCGTATAAACAAGTCAATGTTAAAATAAATAAATATATTTATGCATCAAGCGGCTTTAATACTCTTGGTCGTCCGGTAGATGAAGTGTTTTTGTTTATTGGTTGTTATAAAAAATTGTTTTTTCCATTTTTTTCCAGGATCTAAAAATGCTTAAACAGCTTGGTTATTGATGGAAATCCAGTATAAACTATACTGGATAAATGAATCTACTAATTTACCTTCAGCAACATTTACTTTAAAGTCTACTTCCTCTAGTGGCGCTGACAATGATGTCGATAAAGAGATATCTACTTCATTTTGTGGCGATAAAAATTGTGCTGATGCAGACTAATCGTCATCGACATTTTTAAATAAACATTGTCTGAAACTTTGTGGTTTTCTGGATGTATCTGAAACTTAATGAAAATTTATTTCATGAGTGCAATATTGTCCTAAAAACTTTTATAAGTTTTATTTGTGTACCAAATGGGGTTTTATGGACCATTTCTTGTAAGAAATGCTTTTGACATAATCAAGTAGATTTGTTGTTTTTAAATTATCTTTCTTTTCTTGTCTTTTTATTAAGTTACACCAAATATTTCTTTCTATAGTTAAAAATGTGAAAAATATAATATTTGTTGGAACTCTAATTCCATTTACATTATCTATCATAGCTATTTGAAAAACATTTATAAAAAGCACATTGCAACCCAGACAATATCGCCATTTTTAAACATCGTCGATTTGTTTTGATTGTTACAAACACTGCCTCGTTTTCACGGAATGCTTTATGAAAAGGTCTATTAGAATAGTTATTTAAAAAATAGCGGATTCGATGGAAGATTAAAAAAATTAGCATATGTTAGAATTGTTTTTTCAATGTATTTTTATTAACTCGGTAAGTTTGGCTTGAGCTAATGTTGCATTCTACTTATTCGTTATTTAACAATTATTATTATTTTTAAATCGTTTCCTTATTTAACGATAATGGCAAATTATTTAAAAATTTTAAATAACCTATAAAGCTTTTTAGCCAAAAATTAGAGTTCAGTATGTCATTAGTTATAATTAATAAGTATCGTGTTTACCATTTAATTAACATGTGGTTTCCTTAAAATTTATTTTGTGTGCCTAATTATATGTAAAGGATTGCTGCTTTATTTTTAAAATAATGTAATACATTAATGATTTTCTTAGGACATTTTGATTTCAATTTCATTAGCATTTATTAACTCAACTAATTAAACTCGATTTTTTTTTTGGAATAATTGAAAAAAAAAAAATACTTACAACACCCATGGGGGGTGTTGTAGGTATTTTTTTGACACCAAAAAAAAAAAAAGTCCTTAATATTTGCAATTTGCTAAACATAGTTCAAAATTTGCTTAATGTGCTAACTCAAATGCTTATATGACAGCTTTGGATGGGGGAGGGGGTGGGACACCCCTGTTCGGGACAGCTCTGCAAGCAAAGTAGTGGTAGCATTTGGGCCTGTATGAATATGTTGAAATGTTAGATAATTGCTATCTTCCCTCAATCGATATATTTAAAAAAGGAAACAGCAATATATATATTAGCGAGATGGTGCCATACTGCAAAATTATTCAAAATATGGTTTGAAGACAACAAAATTTCAATAATCTCGTTACCTTCTAACAGCCCAGACTTAAATTGTATAGAAAATATATGGTCATGGTTAGATCATCATTTAAATAAAATTAAAGCTTCAAACTTTAAATAAATAAAGTTACTTGACAATGTGCCTAAAGAAATACCTCTTGTATATTCGATGCCAAAGAGAGTAAATCAACACTTACTAGAGAACGATGGTTCTACAAAATATTGAAATGCTTTATTTGTGGTCTTCTTTGTGTAAATTGCTGCTTTAATATATTATTAGCTGTCATGACCCGTAAAATACGGGTCTAGAGGATATCAATGCGCACTTTATCCGCATGCTTAGAGTTCATTAGAACTTTTATCCGGCTTATTACAAAAGAAAATCTTAATCAAATGAAAAAACCTTCCTAAATGATTATTTTTAACGTTCTAGATGCGAAAATTAACCTTATTGATTGCGTAAACACTCACTCTAACATATGGCGATTGCGTGACGTTTCTCGCAACTTTTTTCAAAATTTAATGCTGACTCTCGAATCCTAAAGAATATGTGGAGACGTTTAA